ATTAAAAACCTCTAATTAGTTTGTCCAATAAATACGTAAATCCATGGCAACTTAAGCTAAATACGAAAGTGGCGAAACTTAATTTTGTTTTTACTTCCTTAACCACTTCTGTTTGCTAATGATGTGAATTTCCGACTGAGTAGGTCTGTTAGGACATCAGCACCCACTTAACATGTCCAGACACAATTCATAATGTAGAAATATACTTTTTTTTAAATAACAAAACATATACTGCATAATACTTACACTTAGCTTGCTCAGAATATTCTTACGCGTAATATAAAATCTTTTGTTGTTAAAAATCCCTTTTTTTAGAGATGAAATTTTTTAGGAAAAAATAAAAATCATGCGAAACTGCCTGTTAAATGCGTACCGTATACATGCAACAGGCAGTTTGGCACCAAAGATACCTGTCAAGGTCATCAAAATATGAAAATTATTACAATTAATTACACCCTTACTTCCCTAGTATCTCCTGTTTGTTTAAGATGTAAATTGCAGTTTGTATTAGGATTTTGAAACATTCATAAACCGATTATTACGTTCAGATACATTTTTTACTGCAGAAGTTGCTTGTTTTCGAAAAAATTAAGTAAGCACTGCATTATGCGTACTGTACGCAAGCAGCAACAGTTTGACGCACACGCTAAAATTTATCAAAATGTCATAGTCAGCAAAATGAGAAAATTTTGACAATTAATGACGTTTTTAATTTCCAAGTATATCACTTTTGCTGAAATTTTAAGTTTTCGCTTGAATTGGACCATTACACCATTAAAAACCTCTAATTAGTTTGTCCAATAAATGCGTAAATCCATGGCAACGTAAGCTAAATGGGAAAGTGGCGAAACTTAATTTTGTTTTTACTTCCTTAACCACTTTTGTTTGCTAATGATGTGAATTTCCGACTTAGTAGGTCTGTTAGGACATCAGCACCCACTTAACATGTCCAGACACAATTCATAATGTAGAAATATACTTTTTTTTAATAACAAAACATATACTGCATAATACTTACACTTAGCTTGCTCAAAATATTCTTACGCGTAAAATAAAGTCTTTTGTTGTTCAAAATCCCTTTTTTTAAAGATGAAATATTTTAGGAAAAAATAAAAATCATGCGAAACTGCCCGTTAAATGAGTACCGAATGCATGCAACAGGCAGTTTGGCACCCAAGATACCTGTCAAGGTCATCAAAATGCGAAAATTATTACAATTAATTACACCCTTACTTCCCTAGTTTCTCCTGTTTGTTTAGGATGTAAATTGCAGTTTGTATTAGGCTTTTGAAACATTAATAAACCGATTATTACGTTCAGATACATTATTTACTGCAGAAGTTGCTTGTTTTCGAAAAAATTAAGTAAGTACTGTATAATGCGTACTGTACGCAAGCAGCAACAGTTTGGCACACACGTTAAAATTTATCAAAATGTCACAGTCAGCGAAATGAGAAAATTATGACAATTAATGACGTGTTTAATTTCTAAGTATATCATTTTTGCTGAAATTTTAAATTTTCGCTTAAATTGGACCATTACACCATAAAAAATCTCTAGATGTCAATTTCCGACTGAGTTGGTCTGTTGGAACATCAGCAACCACTTAACATGTCCAAACACAATTAATATACTTATACTGTACGTATAATACTTACACTTACCTTGCTCCGAATATTCTTACGCGTAATATAAAGTCTTTTGTTGTTAAAAATATTTTTTTTAATGATTAAATATTTTAGGAAAAAATAAAAATCATGCGAAACTGCCTGTTAATTGCGTACCGTACACACGCACCAGGCAGTTTGGCACACAAGAAAATAGCTGTCAGTCACCAAAATACGAAAATTTAAACAGTTAATAATGCCTTTGGTTCCCAGTACTAGAATTGTTTGTTAAAAATTTGAATTACTGCTTGAATTGGTCGCCGAACTTTGGCATTATTCACTATTTTCCGATTTTGCTTATGATAAATATTCTCATATTGCCATCTACCTGTGGAAAGAAGAAATTCTGCTTTCAATTAATGATTTTCTGTTGCATGTTTGTCGATCCTTTACCATGTTGCCAAATCACGTGCCGAACTGCCGACCGGGTGCGGTGGTAGTTTGGCACCAGTGCGAAAGTGCACAAAATATGCCAAACTGACTGAAATTTACTCCAAAAACGTGCGGAAAAGCCCACTTTATGAACATATATCTATATATATAATGGGTTTCTCGAAAACGGCTCTAACGATTTCGATGAAATTTACAGGTTGGGGGTTTTTTGGGTCAAGAAATCGATTCATCATAGTTTTAACTTCTGAAAATTACAGCTTCATACATTTTCAGCAATTTTCAGGCAGTGAATTATATTCGTTGCTAGGTAACATCGGATGACACTACACGAACACGAGATTGTTTTATAAGAGAAGTTTGGGTGACAGTCTGACAGTACGTTTGACGTACCTTTTTATCTTCAATTGTACGTACCGAAACATACTCCACTGTATAGAGGACGTTAAAATTCACCCTCTGAGGTGACAAAATTTACGGAAAACTAAACAGTGAGCGGATAAAAGGCACACGAAAGTGCGTTGAGTTAAGGTTATGTTGTCAAGCATTCATTTCAGAGGTTCGACGGTCAGGGTCAATATGTGATCGTTTTCCGGGATGGGACCGTATTATTTCAGTTTTTGGGCTCAACTTTTCGCACACTTTCGTAAGTGGCATCTTCGGGAGCAGGGTTGAGATTGAGAAATTAGAAATAACGCAAAAGAGCACGGTAACTCAGTATGTTAATCACACCAGAGGCGAAACCATTCTGGCAGTAAGAAAGTGGTTGTGACCTTTTTCTAGAGTCGAGAGAGAGAACTAGGAAAAAAAGAGAACGACAGAGAGAGAACTTGGGTAACAAATGAGATTTTAATAAAAATGTCAAGCAATAATTCCAGTTTTCCATTCTTTAATCTCTACATGTCACTCATCACTATTTAAAACAAAGACTGCTTATGGAATTTCTTTTTTAATGTGTATTTTTAACTAGCGCGTGTACTTCAAAATGCATACTATACGCATATTTATCTGTCCTAATCTGATCTAATACTACCAAACGAGCCGAGTGAAGCTCGGTCAACCAGATATTGCATGTTAAACACCCCATCTCTTGTAAATCCTGCTTCGTCAGTTGTTAACAAATTATTTACAAAATTTGGTTGTTCTTCAAAATTGAAAATTGAACTCAATTTGTTTTATTTTTTCTTGAAATTGAGGCAGCAATTTCAAAAACGAAATCTGCCAATTTTCCTCATTTACAGTAAGCTTTAATGATTTTTTTTTTCCGCCCCTATTTCAAAGTCAGGGTGTATACGTCGATCGTCTTTTATAAAGTAAGGCGTTCTTCCGTACTTGAAATTTTTAAAAAGTGCATGTACGGCGTTCGTCTTTTATAAAGTAAGGCGTTTCTCCGGACTTGGAAATATTTTAAAAAGTACATGTACGGCGTTCGTCGTTTATGAAGTACGGCGTTGGTTGTTTATAAAGTACGGCGTTTGAAATTTATGTAGTACGGCGTTCGAAATTTATGAAGTACGGCGTCCCGTACCGGGTACGTATTTTAAAATTGACTAAATCGCTACAATAAAAATTCTGACTTACCTCGATTACGTAACACAAAGCGGCCGTATTTTTTTTCTTACGAAAATCCGTGGAAAAATGTTCAAACCGCTCTTTACGAAGAGCCATCACACCGACAGCGCGCATCTCGAACGTGGAGAGGTGTGTCTCGCGCCCCTGCTCGCGTACCACTGTCGCCGCTTCGCAGCGTTTGGCTCCGATCGACGTCAAGCGCGCTACTATAGGTAGCGGAGTGATGTTGTGGCGTGTGAGGTGTTCTCTCGAGATACCGACCAACGACTGCATCTTCTCGCTCGCGTTACCACGGACCGTCTGCGAGTCTTATCCAATACTTTTATAAGGAATTCGGATTTATGACGAAATGAATTTCGCAGCACGTTCCGGCCGTTCTTCGGTGTCTCTAAGACTGTGCGTTTTTACGTATGTTCAACAACGACATTATTATGTTATTCAGACCGACCCGACAAAAAGAGACGACGATACGTTCACCTTTTTAGAACGAAATGTTGCGATTACTTTTGGTGGTCATGTCTTTAATGATTATAAGAGCGAACCTTGTATGTGTGTGTGTCTTGTTGATAATTTTGAGAATGTAGTTATCGCACCGTCGAAAATGACCCGAAGTAGACTTGGCTCTCGGAGCGTTTGCGCCTAGAAGTTCATGGAATCCTTGAGTTCCTTCATTGGGTTCGAGCTTGCCTCGAAAGACGGTCCAGCACAGCGAGATCGCGGATGCGGCGGACGTTCCATCGTCGGCGGTCCTTATGCGATCAACCTTACGTTGTTGTAAACGGTGGCGTACGTTCGAATTTCACGATTCGTCGTTCGTTGCATCGAACAGCTATAAAATTTGCGTCAACTCCGTACATTCCGAGCGAGAATATATAATATACACGTAACGTGTGCAGATTCTGAAAAGAATTCGGCACGTCTCACCGTCGCATTCTATCTAGCGAAGAGTGAGGAGAATGTTTGAACTTTTAAACCGGCGCAGGAGGTTTCCTCGCGATACTTTTCGACCGGTATCGTTATGTATGATATTTTTCATATATAAAACAACGAAAGAGAGAGTTAAGCGTGGCGTTACGTTCCTACGCGTTCGTTTCGCGAATACGCACTCGCGCTTTCGACGAAAGTGTTGTTTTCAGTTTCGGAGTATCCGAACGAGAACGCAGTTCCCTGGTTGATCCTGCCAGTAGTCATATGCTTGTCTCAAAGATTAAGCCATGCATGTCTCAGTACAAGCCGAATTAAGGTGAAACCTAATTAAAACAAAGCATTGCGATGGCTCCAGCGGGTGTTGACGCAATGTGATTTCTGCCCAGTGTTCTGAATGTCAACGCGAAGAAATTCAAGCAAGCGCGGGTAAACGGCGGGAGTAAC